AGAAGAAGAAGAAATGGGTTAAGATCGGTTTTGTAGAGGAGTGGAGATGAGAGAGTATTTAGAGAGGAAGAAGAAATGGGTTAAGATTGATTCTGCAGATGGAGTGGAGGTTAATTTTGCAGAGAGGGAAGATGAGAAAGGAAGATGAGATTAATTTTGCAGAGGGGGAAGATGAAAAGGAAGATGACATGTCGCCAAAAAAAAGTCCAAATCAACGCCTTTTAAGTTATTTTTGCCATGTCATCCAAAAAAAATATAAAAAATGCCATGTGGCCAAGTTAATGGCGAAAATTGACAGAAGGACTAACGGAGTACATTTCGTATAGTTAAGGGATCAAAAAAGTGCAAAAAATTATTGAAGGACCAAAAATGTGCAACTCACTAAAGTTGAGGGATCAAATTTAGCATTTAACCTTAATAAAAATAAAACTTACTAGACCTAATTGATTTCTTTGGAAAAAGTTTAGGGGGTAGCCCCCTAAAACGGGCCTATTCAATTACTAAATATATATTGGATATAATAAAGATTCTAATTTTATCATATTCATCATGTAATTATTATTAAATGTTATAACATTTTTAATGTAACGACTTTTTCCCTTGAATGTATTCAACAACTCACGAATCAATTTTTAAAATTTCAATATAGTTTTCAAATATATAGAACAACTATCCTCTTGAACTATGAGAAAATTTGAAATAAAGATATAAATTTTATCCCTTTTTTATTTAAGAATATAAAATTTTTGAATATTTACGTTAGACAATAAATTTTCATTTTTTTTTTCTATCTAAAAATATAATTTTTGGCTGAAAGATTATCTATTTTCAAGATTTATTCTATATTTTCACTCAAATTTTGGTTTCAAGAAATATTTTGTACGAAACTATGGCTGGATGATGGAGATTTCTTCTATTTGGAAATTTGTTGTCAATTAATCATTATCTTATTTTTATTCAAATAAATCACAAGAACTTACAAAAAAGAAAATCAAAATATTCAATTACAACTATTAAATATATAAAGTATAATATAATACATAATTTTATCATATTTATTATATAATTATTATTAGATGTATTGAAAATTTTAATCTAACTGCATTATAAATTTTTCTTCAAAAAATTAAGAGGAAAAAAAAAATTACATTAATGCATACTTTAAAAATATAGTAATTTAGTCTTTCTCCATAAAAATTTATTGAAACAACGTAGTTTTAAAATGATTTTCTTCCTACTTTTTAGGAGGTAAGGCTGAGAAGCACTTTTTACATATATATATATATATATATATATATATTGGAGTGAAGATATATGCAAACATGTGGTTAATTGATGAATTATAACACATCAATACCTGTCTCTTCCCTCCAGTTCATTTTTATATATGGAACATGATCATTATTGTGTATTCCATGGTAAATATTAAATTTTTTTCTTAAATACTCTCATTATTATCTATGAAGAAAAGTGATAGATTTTAGAAATATAGAGTTTGTTTCTAATTACCGTCAAAATGAATGAACTTTGAATTAAATTAATTCTATGATTTAGAAGTTTGGAATTTAATTCTTAGTTTTTAACTAAACCAAACATAAGAAGTGTAGAAATACAATCAATTTTACAAATTTTTAATCAAACAAAACATAAGGGTATAGCTAGAATGAAAACCATTAAACTAAAATAAAACTTTTAAATTAAACTAAAATACAATAGTACAGATTTAGAAATCAATTCAACGTGAAATTCATTTTAATCAAACATCACGTAAATAAAGTCTGCAAATGTCATGAGTCTCCTATGCGAACCTACAAAGTTTCTTTCGCCATATAAAACCATCAAACAAATTAAAAGGGTACCGGAGTATGTTACTTGTATGGCCCAAAAGAAAAAAATAAAATAAAATGGCACCGGAGGGAGTAATTAGATATACCAAAAAAAATATTTTATGTCTGTCTATGGGGGAAAAAGTAAACGGACTCGCTAGTTTTCAGTTTCATAAATGTGATTTTTAGCTAGTGTAACTTATATTTTTTTATATAGTTTAAACATTGAAATTATTAAAATATCATTAATAACTTTATTCATTAATAGCATTCTGTTAACTTTAGTAATTAAATTATAAAAAAATGAAATCTGTATTTAAAAATATTTTTATTGTCGAAGGTTAAATGTCAATTTTGATCTTTCAATTTTAGAGTTTTACACAAGTTTTGTCCTTTAATTTCTTTATACACTTTTTTTATCCCTCAATTATTAGAATTACATTATTTTAGTCTTTTCATCAATTAATTTATTAAGTTCATCTAAATGTACACATTTTTAGTTTTCAAAGTTGAAGTTGAGGGACAAAAAATGTTTATATATTATAAGTTGAGAGATAAAAAAATATGCATATGTAATAAATTAAGGGGTTAAAAATTAATATGTATATTTAGACACTTAATAGATTAATTGACGAAATTATTAAAAAATGTATATTTTTATAATTAAGAGATAAAAAAATACATAAAAAGTTAAAATATAAAAATTATGCAAAAATTTAAAATTGAGGAGTAAAGTTAATATTTAACCTGTTTTAACGTTTTATAATTGAATAATTAATATTTTCAGTGGACATCAATATCAATCCAATTGAATTAACTTAATTTAGAGGAAACTAAATTTGACTAAGAGAGCCAATAATGCCGGCCACGATTCAGTAAAAAAGAAAAAAAAAGGGGAGGGGGTGAAGAAAGAGCAATTAGGAGAAGTTGTTATCAAGGGCAGGTGAATTACTGAGGCAGTAGGGCAATTGGTGCCCGCTCTTGTTTACAAAAGCTGTAGCAACATAAATTAAAAATGTCGATGGGATGAGATCGACATCCATTTTTCTTCTCGAGGATGAAAAATTTTAAAGATTTCTTGACATTCGCATCTAATTATTGTTATATAATAGTTGTGAAAAAAATAAAATAAATTTTATATAAAAAATACAATGTATTTTATAAGTATATTAAATTATTTTTAATAAAATTATTTTTTATATTATTTTAT